CACGTCTCTGCATCTGGGGAAAAAATAAAGGAAAAGAGACAAGCTTGGAACAAATCCCTAAGAAAAAAACAAATGGAGGACACCAGAATCAGAGCTGTGAACTCAAGAAAAGGATACACACTTCAGAACAAAGAAATGAAACCCCACATTTGTCATGTCTTCCAAGCGTTGTGGGTTTTCTTCCTCTAGTAAAACCTTGGGTTTCTGCAGTATCTTTACCTTTATTTTTCTGTTTTCTAGGAAATCCCTCTGGTTCCTTTGTTCTTTCACCTTTTCACTTTCTATTTCTGCTAGGACTGAAGAAACACAGACGAAAAACGTCGTTTTGCTCCTAACAAAAACTTGTCAAAGCATCATTTAGATGCGTTTTGACAGACTCACAGTTCTCAGATGAAATATTTAGACCGAGAAGAAGCGGTCACTGAAGATTTCCCTCCTTGTAAAAAGGGCATTTCCATTAAAAGAACAACAAAAATAGTTTGATATATTATATAAATAGCTTGATATTGGCCGAGCTAATCTTGGGCTGAACTGAAAAAAAAAGTCAATAAATGCGGATTTAGAGGTAATGTTGCTTCCCAGGTCTTGTGGAAGCCTTGAATTAATAAATAGGGTGGAGAACTCCTGCCACTGAAAATCTAAGACAGTTGTCCCCTTTTTAATTCAGGATCACCAGCAATTAGGGCCCTGCAGGCTAATGTCTTCCCAATAGCTGGACAAAGCTCGTTTCCAGGTTTTGTATTTCTTGAGCCTTGGGCAAGCCAAGGGCTTGACTGATCCCCCCCAAAGCTGGAAGAGCCCTTGTTCAGTTCACTACCCAACCATCTCTCTGAGAAAATACCCAAGAGCTGTTTCCTATAGTTGCAGAAACCACAGCTAAGGGTCCAGAAGGTGCCTGCTGCTTTTTTTGAGACCTCAGGGAGGTAAGTGCTGCTCCTCAGTTTCTGACTTTCCTCTGAAAGTACCAGCAGGAACAACCCTCTCCCCATTTTTTTCCTGCCTGGGGAACATCACACCCTTACTACAGAGCCTTGCCTGGCTGGAAATCTGCACTCAAGTAAATTAGGGCACATGAAGACATGAAAGTGAACTTGATTTAAGTGAGAGCATCACTTGAAACTGCAATAGCTTTTCTCAATTAACTCTGCGTGTAGGAAAGACCTTGAAATGCATTTTGAACTGCTATATTAAGGCATTATAAAATCCTTTGTGAACACTATTATTCTGGCTCACTTTAAACCTGATACCCCAATCTGACATTAATGCAAGAGCCACGATCATGACTTAGTGAGGCACAACTAGGCAGCTGAGATGTGATAACACTTAACCCACTGCAATACAACACCCTGTCAGTGACTTTGTACCATTTCTGCAGCTTTTTTTTTTTGTTTTGGTGCAAGAGCTGAGTTCTCTGAGACTGACAACCAGCCCTGGGCATGTCCTCACAGTGCCAGCAGCTCAGCATCCCCCCGTGCACCATGCCCCACGAGTGGACACCGTGGCACGGCGTGCTTGGGGACACAGGAGTGATGTGCTCTTGCTGATTTGACTGCTGCAAGTCAAAATTAGTGCTATCAAGTGCTGCAGTAGGGCAGGTATTACTGGTCACAGGAGTTGAAGGCGAAATATTTTCTGTCACATTAGTGCTGGGCTGGGTCTGTGCACGCGGTTAATTAAAGAGGCTCAGCTAGAGAGTGGTAATTTGTTAAGCTGCATAACTCAATTGCCTGCAATCATCTGCCTATCCCCACACTAAGCCACTCCTGACACCAAAGAAGGCGTTGATCTGTGTCCGTTTAAGTTTATTCTTTTGGCTACTGAGGTGCAACTTCTGCCTGCAGATAAGACCGACCCGTTCCCCTGCAGTTATCACACGTTGGCAGCTCTGGACACCAGCCCTCCCCAGCTCTGCTCCTGGCAAACAAGCCCAAATATTCAAAATTTACCCCCAAAATCAGCTGGCCTTTCATCTCCCTGCTGGCCATGAGCAATGCAGCCATGGGTGAGCTGGGCGAGCACCCAACAGTGGCAGCAGGGTGCTGGGGTGCACCTTGGCCTCCCCATGGGCAGAAAGACAGCAAAGGCTGAACCCTAAAAAAAAATTAAGGAGCCTTTTCTGCTGCTTATCTCCCAACAGAGCTTGTCCCTGTGATTACTGATCATCACCCAGGACTGAGGTAGGATCTTGTGCCTCAGAGCAGGGCCAAGGGCTCCTGTGCACTCAGGCACTGCAGCATCCTGCAGCAACGCCTCTTAACAGCCTGAAAACTGGGCTTCAATCCTCAGAAAGATCTGTTTTAAAATTCCCTCTAGTGGAAAAAGGGTGGAAATTCAAGCTGCGAGGTTCAGCTCACAGAGAGATTCACAGCCAAGATTTGAGGGGCTGTGAGTTTTCACACTGGCCACCCCAGGGCCACCTCAGCCCACGTGGGATAAAAACCAAGTGACCAGCTGGAAATTCCTGTGTCAGCCTGACTTTTTATTTCAACGTAACTGGAAAACTTTTAAAGACAAGCTTTTCTTCATTAGAAATAAAACAAGGGGACTGTTAAAAAAAAAATGGCTTTTTGTAATGAAAAATTAAGTGAAAATTGCAGAAAAATTCTGCAATGTCACAGAATCCCAGCATGGTGGGGATGGAAGGGACCTCTGGAGATCATCTCATCCAACCCCCCTGCTCCAGCAGCTCACCCACAGCAGGGTGCCCAGGATGGCATCGAGGCAGGTCTGGAATTTCTCCACAGAAGGAGACTCTGGGCAGCCTGTTGAGGCTGGTAGGTTTTTGTTGCTCAGAGGACAGTGATTGTCATGCAGGTCCCTCCCTGGGCACCGGGGTGTCCTCTGTGGCAGCTCGGTGAGTACGCTCACCCTCTCCCCAGCAGCAGACAAACCAGGAGGAGTTTATTGCTGATGTAAATCAGAGAAGCTCCACTGGCTTCTGAGGAGCTCTGCAGATTTATGCCAGGAGCTGACCCGGCATCTCTATTTTCAAAACTAGGGCAGATTGAAATATGCTGTTTTTCAATAATATATTCAGGTTAACAGGGCTTTTATATTTGAGCAATTAATCTTGCATAGACTGAGAACCTCTTGGGACAACGTGCAAAGGTTGCTAAGAAGAGGAAAACAAACACAGTTGTGTAACTCAGTACTCCCATGTCTTTTCTTTCATGAAAACACATTGCAGTGATCTGAAACCCAGCAGTGATGTTACTTTAATAATCAGGAGCATACCAAGGCATAATATAGAAATGATTTTACTAAGAGGTAGTATTACCTCATCTTATATTACTGTAAAATGATTCAAACCAGAAATATTGAGACATAAATCTGTGGTAATGGAGGAAAACCACATTATGCTAGAGAAAGTCTTTCCTGCTTATTGCAGGACAGTTCCCTCCTGTGACCTGTGCTCAGTGCAGATGGGAGGCCTGGGGCAGGGGTTGGGCAAACCTCTTCCACGTTATCCCATTTTTCCAGGTACCTCCAAGTATTCACTTATCCTTTTCTGTGCTCTAAAGCCCGAGCAGGACCAACATATGATTTTTAGGCCTGTAATTGCCTCTGCTATTTTTTCCCTCTTTGCATTTGCTGCTCCCCAGTCATGCAGCATCATCCCCAGCTTCACGGATTTACTGAGATCCTCATGATTTGACCCTTAGTTTTTAGTTCTTCCAGAATATTATGCTCTAAAATAGCTCAGGAACACAACTGCTCTGTGCCAAGCAGACCATTAATTATGGTTTTGTGCTCAGGCCCAGGGAAGGAAATAACAACAGCTAAAACCCATTGCATGGCTTGTTTTCTGACCGTGTTGCCAAAGCCTGGCCAGGGCAGCTCTACCCAGAGATCTGCACAATGACCAGTTCAGAAGTGGCTGACTGCAGTGGAAACCATTCAGTCGTGTCCAGGAGCTGCATCGTTGCATGACAGAAGTTTCCAGTCACAAATAGCAACAGATTCTGAGAGATTATGCAGGTGGCTACTGCTTGATTAATGTGTGCTGCATCTGTTAGTCCAAAGTGGCAATTTACAGCACACAAACACACCGCTGCAACAGCAGTGCCTTGATTTATGCTGGATGAAAATCTGTCCCTTTACACCATTTTTTTTTCTTCCTTTCTCCTCCCACAAAAAAAAAAAAAGAAAAAAAAGAAAAAAAAAAAGAATAATTATTTCCTTGTAAAGCAGAAGATCTCATTGGTTCTGTGTTCCAACAGTAATATCACATTCTGCTAGGAACCAGCAATTCTGCTTGTGGCCATGAAATTCAGGTAATGACCCGTAACTGAAGTAAATTAGTGTTTCATTTCCCATCCCTCGCAGACAGCTTACTAATGGAAATTGATTTCTAGCTTCTTTCTTTTTCATTTAACATGCTCGTGTAATGTCTTTATTTTAGATTCAAGTGCTTGCCAGTGAGTTTTAGCCAAAAGGCGACCACCGAAAGCATCAGGTCAATCAGTGTTGTGTTAAACAGTGCTCAGGGCACGGGCAGGGCAGGGGCATCCTCATGTGTGCAGTGGGCTCCTGCTGTCCTGTATTCCCACCCATGGGCAAGCTCCAGGACAGACCCTCAGCTGGAGTGAGCAGAGCTCACATCCATGAACACGCACAGAGGTCCTGCTGTTACCAACCTGATCCCTTATGCACAAGCTCTTGTACAATTAGCATGTTCATTAGTAGGTGGCACACTTTCATTCATAGCTCTGCGTGCCCAGTGCTCTCTCAGCCTGATAAAAGGTTGTCCCACGCAGCCAGCCTCTGACACAGGTGAGATGCTTGTCCCCAGACCAAGCCAGGAGCCTCAGGTGTCACATCTCAGTGGTGGCTGGAGCCAGAAGCCAGTCCTGCTCTCTCTGTGGTTGCCCAACCACCGGATCCCCCGTAATTCTTGCCAAACGTGGGCTCTCTTGTGTAATCTGCTCCAGCCACCAGTGCACACATCCCCACCCTTTTTTCTGCTATTTAGGTAAAACTTGGCTGACAATTTCTTCATTGTATAGCAGCACCAGCACGAGAGCCAGAAGCTGACCTTGGATGTCCAACCCTTTTTCTTTGCAGAGGAGAGAAGGGCAGTGAGACACGGTAAGGGTTTTGTACAGCTCCTAGCCTGTAAATTTATAACAGCAGTGAGACAAAACAAGGCTTTATAACAATGTTGTGTTATTTTCAACCCTCTGTTACTTCTGCAGCCTATCAGGTTATTCTGGCAACTACAATGGAGTTGGGAGGAGGGGAAAATCTACTTTTCCCATTTTATTTTCCTGAAACTGGAGGAACCAGAACTCAGCTGGTGCTGGTTTACACTTTAAAAGCAGGACTAACAGCTATTATTTTTCTCAGTGTTCAGTTGATTTTCTGGTTCCATAGACACTTTAATAGTGCTATAAATTGTCTGGTAAAGAAAATCTTAGTTAGAGATGGCATTTGGGGCATTTATTCCTTATTGATGTGTAAATTGGCTTGCACGGCTGGCGGGTGTTACTGAAGATGAATGTTTTGTAGCATGATGATGATAATAACAATTATATCGAAGCGTTAATCGTGAATTAAAACCCCAAACAGAGATGCTTGTGCAGATCAGTCCTCTCCTCGTGCTCCTGGTTTCTCTGCTCAGAGTGCCAGAGACATTTCCCTGGGCAAGGGAATTTTCTGTGCCCACTTCTCTCTTCTTTCATTGCTAAACCTGGTCTTGCCCGAGTGCATTGGCTCGGGTGCATTTTGTGTTTCAGCTGACAGCACAGAAGTGCTGGGCTCCTGGTGAATCCCATGTGTTATCCCCCATGAATGCTAATTTGGGTTTAATTCCTTAATCGATCAAGAGGGCAGGTGATTAGAGGGACAAAAGGAGGGAGGACAGAAGACTGGCAGGTTCAGAGCCCTAGTGAGGATAATGGCAGGGGAGATACAAGCCAGAGAATGAAATGCTAGATGTTATCCTTATCACTGCTGCCTTGCGTGGGAGCATAATGCAATTACTGAAGCAAACCTTCCTTCCTTTTATGCAAGAGGAAGACTGTGAGCAAATTAAGTAACTACCCTTGTGCCTCAGCTTCCCTGCTAACAGGGGTGAGGATCCACCTCTGCCTGCTGGGGCTGCAGGGGGATTGAACGAGGTCCACTGAGAACTCAAAATGTGCTGTAAGGACATTGTCTGGCTAGAGACGTCATTTAGAATATAAATCCACAGTGAAAATCAAGACAGAGTCAGACGGGACGGGGGTTTCTGGGCAGGACCTGTCTGGGTTGTCACGTCCAGAGCAGCCTGCAGAGGAGGGAGAGCAGCGCTGCCCCCTGAGCCTGTGCTGGGGTTTGGGGGCTGTCTGACGTGGGCGCCCAGAGGAGGGGTGACAGAAGTAACTGCAGTCTTCTCTTCCAAGAATATAACCACCTTAGCTGAACCCAGCCAGAGGAATATTGTAGGAAGCCATGAAATAGCAGAGGGAGCCACTCTGCTGCATAGATCAAGGGGAAAAACATAACCACGACAGAAATAATCCCCCTTACTTTGGAGATGGGGAGGTGGGCAGAGGGGAGCCAGCAGCAGAGCTGAACACACTGCTCAATATTTAACTCCTGTCTTAGAGACTAAAGTGGAACGTGGGCAATTAGAGAAAAAGCTTGAAAGCTCAAAGCAGGAAAAAAATGTCATTTTGAAGTGATAATCAATTATTGTTTTTAACTTACAGCAGGCAAAAGGCTACATCAAGCCACCAGGGAAGGATGTGGGCTTATACCGTTGGTTTTACTGTCCTGCCTCATGTTGGGGGTTTCCTTGGCTGGTTCATTAATCGCAAAGAAATACCTGCTTGGTATGAGAAGCTGAAAAAACCTTCCTGGTGCCCATCCCGCAACCTGTTCCCTTTTGCCTGGACTGTCCTGTACACTGGCATGGGGTAAGTCCTCTGTACCACTCCCTCTCTCTTCCCACTGTGTCTGGTAGAGGGAGGAACAGACAGGCTGCCCAAGGAAGTTATGGATGCTCCATCCCTGGAGGTGTTCAAGGCCAGGCTGGACAGAGCCCTGAGCAACCTGGTGTAGTGGAAGAGGCCCCTGCCTATGGCAGGGGGGTTGGAACGAGATGATCTTTAAAGTCCCTTCCAGCCCAAACCCGTCTATGATTCCATGACTTGGGCTGTATTAGGGATCTACTCCCTGCAGAGCACTGATGCCTTTCCCTCCACACAGCTATGCCTCCTACCTGATCTGGAATGACCTGGGTGGTTGCAACAGCAAAGCTATCGTCCCACTTGGCCTCTACGGGGCTCAGCTGGCCTTGAACTGGGCTTGGCCTCCCTTCTTCTTCGGTGCACGGAACCTGAAGATGGTAACGTATCACCTGGCCATCCATTCATCTGCTGGGGGCTTGTGTGCTGCAGTCCCCACCACACGGGTTTTGGGGTGGTTTGGAGGTTTTCTAACTAGCATTATGCAATTGTAGAGAGCGGCAAGAAGAGCTTTTGCTCAGATATAGCTCACACTGCAGCAGGTTCTAGACAATGGTATCAGGCCCTTCCATGCCTCACCCTGCTCTCACCATGCAGATAGCTGGGTGAGCAGAGCAGGGCGGGAGATCAGTGACTCCATAGTCCAGCTGCTGCTTCTCCCAGTTAAGGATTCGGGGTTAGAGATAAGTCCTTCTGGGAGTCACACCCTGCAGCAAAGTTAGCATCCCTGGGGGGCAAAGTTAGCTGTGAGGGGCTTATCGAGCAAATACAACCCCCCAGGCATTGCAGAGTCTGTCAGGAGGATGGGCACGAAGGCACAGGGTGGCAGAGCTGGGCTTGTGCTGTATTCAAAACTCACTTACTGCAGGTGCCAAGGCCCAGAGATGATGGAAGCACAGAGTGGGATTTATATTTCCCTCTGAATTTTATCACTCTGTGGATGAAAGGTATATTTAAGGAAGAAAATTTTTACACTGAGGGTGTTGAGCCCCTGGCCCAGGCTGCCCAGAGAGCTGGTCAATGCCCCATCCCTGGAACCATTCCAGGTGAGGTTGGATGAGGCTCTAAGCCACCTGCTCATGAGGTGTTCTTGCTCCCTGCAGGGGGCTTGGACCAGATGAGCTTAAAAGTTCCCTTCTAACCCAAACCATTCTATGATTCTATGATCTAGAAAGTTTGTTATCAAGCATGTTAAAATAATCCCATTCTTCTGTTGGTACCAATAGCCATTGGTACCAATAGCCACTGGTACCAACAGAAGCACATTTCTGATCTGTCTGCACAGGCACTATCAGCAGAAGGGGCCCTGATCATCACTAGCAGTGTATTAATCTGCAGAACTCCATAATGAACCACAAAAAATTAACATTAGTCTCAGCTCCTGCTGTGATACATCCAGATTAGAGTTCAGAGCCAAGGTCCTGGAGTTTAGAATGACTCGAGGTGGCTTTTCAGCACTAAACCTCCCCCACTCCTGTTCCATCTCACCCCCTCCAGTAGGCCAGCTTATAGTTGTACTGGGGAAGCCTGTGCGTGCCCAGGAGCGAGCAGCAGAGTGACAGTGTTGTCTCTGCCCCAGGCCCTGGTGGACATCCTGTGCTTGGACAGCCTGGCGATAGGCACCGTGTGCTCCTGGTACCGCATTAACAAGGTGGCCACGCTGCTGATGGTGCCTTACCTGGGCTGGCTGGCCATGGCCACCTGCCTCACCATCCGCATCTGGAAGGACAACCCCGAGCCAAAACCAGCCAAGAGTGAATGAGAGCAGGACGGGACTGAAGGCGTTTTGGGAAGCTATGCTGATGTGAACCAAGAGCTAATAACGTCAGGGATTCATTTTGGGACAGACATCGGAACGTGCCTCCTCCTCCTCCTTCTCCTCCTCCTCCCACCTTCATCGTGGTTGTGTAAAAGCAAGGTTTGCACCCTGCACCTGGGTGCTCCTTTAAAGTAACTGTGAATCCTTAACCTGGGAACTATTTTTTCCAGCACTGTTGAAGTCTGGGGGCTGCAGCTGCACGGTGATCTTAATGCTATCAGGTCAAATTCCATCAGCCAAATTAGGATCTCGTGATACCAGTGCAGTTTGAGGACCCCCCCCCAAAACTGCTGCCATTCCCCCAGAGAGCAGAACTTGTTCACACACGTGGAAAATCCCTTCTCCTCTTCTGGGACCAAGCAAAAATGCCCTTCACTTCTGCACACCAGTTTTTAAGAACCTATTGGATTTTTTGCTATTTGTGCCGTTGCTTCATTTTCATGTATCACCTGGTTTGTGCTTTACACCATTAACTTTTTATCTGTCAGCTACTGAGCACGCAGTAATCTGTCTTGTTCTGCTAGTGAAAGGAGACTGGGCACTTTGACTTCTATTTGTGGAGTATCACACTCCTTGAGTCTCATGCTCCAAGATACAGCAGCAATGATTAGAATGCAAATGCTTCTCCCAAGAGGAAATTTCTCTCTTCCACCTCTGTGTGCTATTCCTCAGCAGAAAAGAAAAACTAACATCAGTGCCTTTGAAAGTAATACTTAAAGTGGTGGTTTTTTTGACTACAGAAAGAGCCTTTGTAAAATTGAAGAAGTTGCTCACGCTGCCTTGAAGGTTGTAATTATATGATTGGTAAAAAGCCCCATGCTGAGGCTGTCAGCTGCAGTGTTGGTATCACCCTAGAGTGTTTCCATTCCTGAATACTATTAATCAGGAAAGGTTAAAACACAAGTAGCTCCAGAGAAATGGGACCAAGCCATGACAGATTCAGATGCAAGAGGGGCATGAACTAGCCCTTGTCCATCCTTTATAATGGCCATTGCATTTGACAGATCTCTGTCTGCAGAGAATATTTGCCATTATTTTTTAATTGATAGAAGCAATATACACGAAGAACAGTGGTAAGTGGATCTTCTTTCTGGCAGCTGACTGTAGATGAAGGTGTGAGGGTACACCTGGAAAGGGGGGGAGGGAGAAGGGCTGAGCTGGGGATGTAAAATAAATTGTGTTTGCTTTTAATAAAACCAAGCCACTTTTGTTTGGAGAATAAATAAATCCAAGTTAGTCTTGTTTTACTGGTTTGCTTGAGGGATTCTGTCTGGGATCTGTGGCTTGTGTGTTGGCTGCAAAGGGCAGAGGATGGGCAGCGAGGATCTGCAGGGCTCCAGCAGCCAGACTCATTCCTGAGTGCTTGTTGGGAGTCAATGGGTTCAACCCTAAAGGTCCCAGTGGTTCCTTCAGCCCCTGCAGAGTGGAGACATGCAGGATGCATCCCCAAGATAGGCTCCTCCACGGTGCTTCACCCACAGCCTCAAGGTAAGGAAGGTAATTCTTGGGTTTGGGGTCCTTTCTGAGTCACATCAAGCTTGATTTCTAGAGATGTTCAATGTTCCCAGGTCCAGCTCAGGTCAACAGCAGAGCTGGGTGCTCAGCACGACTGAAAGCTGGGGCCAAGAGAAACAAATGCCAGTAGCTGAGAGCAATTGAAATCTGTAGTACCTGTTTAAAATCCACTCACATATCTTGGTCTGTCATTCTGATCCCATCCATTATTTTTCCCTTCTAGCTACAGGACACCTTTATGCAGGACTGCTGCTGCAAACGTGTGGCTCTAATCTCCTGAGTGGAAGCTGAGTAAGAACTGACCACTGAATAGATGTGGCTGTAAGCAGGAGAAGGACTATAAAGCATGAGCATGGCAAGCAGCATGAGAAAGATCATAAGCTACTTTAAAAAAAAAAAAGAAATTCCTATATATTTCAGGGCTTTATATAACCGTATATTACCACTGAGCTTATTTACAGCAATGCCTCATCTGTGTCTTCTAGAAAGCCACATGCCAAAAGACAGGAAGATATAAATTATTTCTTCCTAAAAAGAAGCTAATATCAGGGCTGGAGATTCATTTCGGTGGAGTTAGGAATGATTTAGGGCTCCTGAACATCATTCAGCCTGTCCCTTCGCAGGGAGCATGGCAAAGCCCCAGGAATGGAGAGGAGCAGAGCCATCTAGTGAAGGCAGGAGGGATGGAGCCAGTCTTGCAGGGAGCTGTGCTTCAGCAAAGGGGAAAAGTGTTCTTTAAATCACATTTCAGTTGGTAAGTGACTCTAGAGCTGGCTCAAACCTGCAATGTTTTAATATAATTCAATATATCGATGCATATTTGCTCAGCTTTCATAAATGAGCCCTCTTTCCCATTTTTTTTTTTTCTGCAGGTAAAGGAAAATCTGGAATTAATAATAGATTTTTTTTATCTTTTCACATTTGCCCTCCCCATTTTCCCAGCTGATGAGACTAGTTGACTTATTCCTGTTTTCATTTCAGCTCCTCTTCCTTCCAGTTCACCTACAAGCACACCAATAGCTTCTCTTTGCTACTTCCATTTTCTTGCAGGCAGCAAAAATAGCAAATGTTCCTACATGTAATATACTTCCTAGCTTGAAATCAATTGACAAAGTTAAATTCAGCAAAGCACCCTCTTGTATTAATATTTAAAGCCTCATTTGGTATATTTGCTGTTTAAACAGATAGACTAAAACCCTTTGCATCAAAATAACCATAATGACATTTCAAAGTCAGCCATCTAGAAAATTTCTTAGTTACACTATGTGGTGCAGATGAAAATCAGCCTCTGTGGACCTAGAGGGGCCCTGGTTTCCCATCAGCTCATGCTCCTGGTCACACGATGGCTGGAAGAAGCACGTGGCCCTGCAGCCCACGTCTGGATCCATCACTGTGCTACAAACAGGCCAAAGAGAAGAAGGGGAAAAAAGCAAAACAAAGAGGTGCTGGAGACCCAAAGCACAGTGAGGAACCTGGCTTGCTAAAATCAGTGCTGCTCAGCCTCCAGGTGGGAAAGGGGATTTCAGGTGCATGAGTCAGAGCTCCCCTCTCTGCCATACCCCACCTCCCTGAGGGGCCCTTTCCGAGGGGATCCAGCTCTGGGAAGCTTGGCTTCTGGCAGGATCACCTTAGCAGGCATGCAAGGTGTTTGTCCAGCCCCGCCTGGATTAGCTTATGGAACAGATTCCACGTCCACCCAGCGTCAGGGGCGTCCACAACCCACCCCGGGGCACGTCGAGCTCTGCAGGATGCCAGCAGTGACTCAGACAAAGGCCCTGTGCTGGGGACAGCTTCACGGGGTCGTGGCATTTCGAGGAGAGCCACCTCTCAGATCACCATGTCTGATGATGATCCCTCTCTTCCAATTTCAGCCAGTCTTTCCAGAAAGAGGCGTTTGATATTAAACTGAACGTTACACTTGATCTTAGCCCAAAGGGCACGGCCCTGTCTGCTGGATACACACTATTTGTGCACAAGCAAAATCCTTCTGCCTTGCAGGGCAGCCTATTTTCCTAAGCCTTGTCTCATTCAATAATTCACCAGCTGTTCCAGAAAACACTCTGGTTTCAGCAGTAAGGAACTTTAATTGATTTGCTGATGTCTGGAGCTCTGTTAAAATATAGAGCCAAAGCTGGCGAGGATTTGCTGCTGTGTAAACTTCAGAGAGCTGACTACGGTTCATCAGCTCTCCCCACAACCCCCTCGTTAGCACGGGCTGCTGCAGAATATCAATTCCTGTGGCTTCCAGCACCTGCAGCATGGCTGGGGCTGACCTTCTCCTTGAACTGCTCCCACTAAAACTGCAGCAGAAGCCCAGCAGGAAGGAGGTTGTGCCGCTTGGAGCTGTCATTAACTTCCAGTTGGGCTTTGAATTAATTGGACAGCCAGCAGAGCCTGCCAACAGAACAGGCTCCTTCCAGCTCTACAGCAGCATGGGCATGGGTGTGAGAGCTCAGGGATCTGGGGCCAGGGAGGCCCAGGCTCGAGCTGTGAAGATAAGGCAGGCAAGGAGGTGAGAGCATGGCTTATCTCAGCCTGCACCACCTCAGCCCTGGTGCAGTGCACTTGACAGGGAGCCACCCCCAACAAAGAGGGATGTGGGCACCGGCTGGGTCAAACCCCTGGGACGCTTCTGGGTCTGAATCCAGCATTTCCTGATCTTTGAAATCTTGGCTTGGTGGTCCTGCAGTGGGAGGAGAGGGACAGGTGAGAGTCTGCAGGGGCCGAGGGTAGGAAAGCTGCCTCTGCACATCACTGTCACAGCATTTATTTATTTATCACGTAACGGTAGTTACAGCTGGAAAAAGCAGGAGGGGGATTGCTGCCAGACAATGTATCTAGGGAGATGTTTTGTTAGTGCCACCAGCTGTCCCCTTGGAATAGAGAGCAGGTCTGAGCCATGACTCACACAGCCCGTGTCTTATTTCACTCTCGCGCCTATCCAAAAATGTTCCTCCAGCCTGAGAATGCAACAGAAGCCTCCTTTTCCTGGCAAGGGCTTTCACAGCCAGGTCTCTTGTACTGCCCCTTCAAGATTAGGAAAGGAAAACAATGATTTTAACTTCAGGACAGTAACTCCTGCTGCAATTAGAGGAACAGCAGATGACCTGCCTGGGAGACAGGTCAAGGGAATACAGAACTCTCTACGTGAGATACTTATTTCAGATGGGGAAAAAAGTCAACAGATTGTTCAGAGATGCCTCTAAAGTCAGTGGAGAAACTGTTCTAGACTTGGATGGATGCAGGATCCTTAATATCCAATAGTCCAACAAGGCCAGAAAGCTGCTCCCAGAGCAAGTTGTCATCTCAGCCTTGCCCTGCTAGCAGTCGCTGTTGCTGGCAGGGTTCCCATGCAGACAGCTCTTCAAATCTCACTGCAAGTTGGTGGCCCTGAGGTCTACTCTTCCCCAGTACTTCATCTGCTCAGGCATTCTGGCCTCGATGCCCCAACACAGTGAAGTCACACCTTACAAAACAGAGTGAGAAGGCTGCCAGATGTTGCAGGACACATCTGTCACGGGACGGAGAGCAGGCTTGGGCAGGAAACCACAGCTTGGGTTTGTGCCACTGAGAAGGAGTTGCTCAATGGCCAATCTGGTGGATGTGGTGCAGGGTTGTGGTCACCCCGCTGGAGGTTCCCGATCTAGAAGGGAAGAGCCTGCACTGGACTGGGCATGTGGAGAGGCCACGGGGCTCTGCTGGAAACAAGCACAGTTTAGCCCTTGCCATGGAGAAATAAAAGGGGAGAAGCAAAGGGCTCATTCTCATTCTCCTTGCATGGACTCGATATGTTTGTGGATCTCTTGTGCCTCTTCCCTGGCTGAACAGCGATTCCGCTGCAGGGCTCTCCGAGCAGACCAAAATAATTCACAGCCAGCTAAATAAACCATTAAATCAGTGAGGAGAGGGGCAGGGTGGAGGGAAACCTGAATAAAAACGCTGGCTGGCTGATTTTAGTGAACCAAAGTGCTGTGGGAAGGTCCTTAGGTGAGGCTGGCCGCATCCCTGGCACCTCTCGGCACCCGCGCCCCAGCTCCTGCTCTGAGCTGGAGGATGGAAAAAACCCTCCACCATCAGCTTGAGTCACTGGGTCCAGGCACAAACACCCCTGCACACAGGCACGCACCTCGGGGGAACTAGGGTCACTTAAAAACAACTCAACAAAACTGATCAAAGCTTTCATTCCTATGGCTCTAATGCAAAAGATCAGGTTGACAGCAGCTCGGTGGTGTCCTTTTATATTTTTGGCGCAGGCGGACGCTGCAGGGGGGAGGGTCGTGACTGTTTAGTGCACTGCCCTAGATGGGGCTGTGAAGCAGCTGGGGAAGGGCTGGATAGAGGTAGAGTCTCAGTGCCACATTCCTGAGATTAGATTAGAGCTTAGTCCTGAACCCCGCAGAGGGGCCAGGCCAGTGAAAGCTAAAGGCTGCAAGAAAGATGGGACCCCAGCCATCGAGAGCTTCCAAAAATAAAGAAAAGTGGGTCAGAGGGACTGAAGAGAGGCTGGAATGCTTCTTTAAAATATAAGGGTAAGAAGGAAACAAGCTGTCACTCATTAAGAGAGGATTCCCATCCCCAAAACTACCTCCTGAAATGTCAAAGGTGACAGTAATTGGACAGGGGAGTTGGAATTTGAGCATAGTTACCATGCAAGAGGAAAAACACTACACCTGCCCTCTGGGAAAGTATTTTAAGCTTAAAAATAAATAAAATTCTCCACCACGAAAATGAAAGATCGATGTTCCACGGATAGGGTGTCTTGCAACTTGTCATATCCTTGATTGTGCTGTTGTCACAATACTCTCCATGCCAGCTGTGTCAGTCATCAAATAAACAACTTCCCAGCACCACAAACAGTGTGGGAGCAAAAGCGGGGTAAGGGGGTGGGGGAGCTCTGTGGAAAAATTTTACACATGTTTTCATGGAGCTTGGCTCACATGGGATTTATATAAAGTTTAAATTATTTAAATTCAGAGTGAGAAAAGGAACGTCATGAAATCCTGAAGGGAAAAAGTCAACCCCCACCCCCCCCAAACCAAACATTTAAGACTCTTTTTAGAGCTCATGTGAAAGCTGCATTACCCCTAAGCATCCTTCTATAAATTCAGAGTGAGAAAAGGAACGTCACGAAATCCTGAAGGGAAAAAGTCAAGCCCCCCCACCAACCAAACATATAAGACTCTTTTTAGAGCCCATGTGAAAGCTGCATTGCCTCTAAGCATCCTTTTTAGTTACCACAGCCTCTCCAAGAAATCTGCATGAAACAGTGCTGAGCAAACCAAACATCCCCAACTTGTGTCCATAAAATCTTTATAGTCCTTCTCATTTCTCTGTGTATGAAAGGCAGATCCCACATCCACTCTAGTTCAGGCAATTCCTGCTAAGCACCTTACCAGAATGGCTCCAGTGCTCTGTCCTCAGCACACCAGCTATCACTGCATGGCCACACACACCTCACTTCTCATCACTCCTCCACCACAGGCTCTCATCTCCCCGATTCTCTGGCTCCAGTGCAGCCACTCCTTCAACATCTGCACCCTCTGTGGCAGAAAATGAGAAAGAAACAACAAAATACTGCAAGAGCCACCAAGCCCAGCAGTTTTCAAATGCTTACTCTCACCCAGCTTTGGTATTGCTCCCAGTTTGCTACTCGTTTTTTGAAGAATTTGTTACTCTTGGTTTTTTTTGAAGAGTTTGTTACTCTTTGAACATGCAGACAGAGAGAAAAAATACAGAACGAGGGGCAGATGCTCAGCACATGCCCTTGGAATTGCCCTGCACCAGAAATACTGCCCCACTGTCAATCTTAAGGCTGACTAGAATATCTGGGAGAAGGTTCTGGCTTCCATTTACACCAGTATGACCTGACACTGACTTCAAGCAGCAAGATTTCCCCCTGTGCAGCTCCTCTGTTCAGTGTCCCTGCAAGACTGAGCATGGTGGAAGGAAAGGCAGGTCCCCTGCTCCTCTGAGCACTCCTGCAGTGATGCTCCAGGTGCTCCAGGAGGCCAAATCCACCAGCAATGGGGATTTTTCAGCAAACCAAAGGAGGACTGCCCCTTTCCCCTCTTGCCTGAGCCAAAACGGTGGGACTTCAAGGTCAGCAATATAATAAACTGGCAAAAGAAGGTAGATGGAAAACTTGCCAGTTCTGCACCATGCCAGCTATCTGTCACATCAACGGATAAATAGATACTCATGCTCCCAGGATTTTCCATCCATTGCTTAACCCGCCCACAGTGAAGTCGTCACTTAATTTTAAATTAAAAGGGGAGCAAGAGGGATAGTTAAAAAAGACCTAGAGAAAGCAAGGGAAGGAGGTGACATCTGAGAGCCCTGGGTCATCCTACCCCATCCAGGCTCTATCATCGCTGCTTTGTTCCATATTTAGCTCCCGACAACTGTGCTTAGTGCAGGAACTCCCAGCTCTGGTTTTTCCTCCTCCCTCTGCTGCCTCCTCTCCCTTAGAGCTCTCAGAAATCGCTCTTTCTTTTTCCCAGAGGCCAAAACTTCATACCCCTATACTCAAGAAGATGGCAGAAAAGCAAGAGGAGCCCAGCAACGCCCAGAATGGTGAACCTGACAACGCAGAGGAGGGTGAGGAGAAAAAGAAGAAGAAGTTGAAGCGGGAAGATCTGCCACCATTTGAAATCGTGACAGGGTAAGAGATTTAGATACAAATACAGGGGTTCAAGAGGGAAGCAGGGATGTACTGCTATTGGGTAATTAAAGATGACAGCCAGTGCACTTCTGAGTATCTTTAATGGTGTAACTATGGCTTTTGTTACAGTGGGATCTTGTTAAAAGTTTTGCCAAGTTTTTCAGAGGAGGGATTCACACCAGGCAAGGCAGACGGGTCTGCTGGCTTTACACAAGCAGGTCTGTTTCTGTGGTGGTGACTGGTTTCTGTGGTGTTGACTGGTTTCTGTGCTGGTGACTGGTTCCTGTGGTGGTGACTAGTTGCCTTACAGTGCAAAGAGTCCCACGGCCTGCAGTGGGATCCCTTGCTTGAGGGGATGGGGATGGAAGGTGTTGGCCGTTTGATTTCTTGGCCATGGATTTCTTGGTTTGATCAACGGCTCTTGTCTCAAAGTTTCTCTGTGGATTAGGAAAAATACCCCTGCTATGGCTGATTCACTTAATGGATCAACAGGACAGATTTTTCCAGAGAGCTAAAAGTGTATATTTTCTAGGGCTCCACAGCCTCAGCTGGACCCTGACTTTCAAATAAAGCCGAACTCACAGAAAGGCACCAAAACAACAGGCTTGCATGAGAGCAAAGCAGCAACAGCTCCTTTTGCTCCAGAGAGGTTTTTTTTTTTTAAAAAGCAGATAGAACAGAGACCTACAAGGAAGCTGAGCTCTGTCAGACATAACTGACAGCTGCAACTAGAAAAAACTCTGTAATCAGTCATCTCTAAGCATTTCAAAATGCTCATTGTAGCAGTAGCAAGATGCCCTGTGTCCTTCTCCCTTAGCAGTCACCAAGGCAGTGTTACCAGTTTGTAAACCAAACCCATTATTTCTTCCAGCTGCTTGAACATAAAGCTCAGGCCAGACTCAAATCCCCCTTGGAATCCTTCTGCCTGTGACGTGGTCACCGGTGAGAAAGATTCTGCAAATAAAATCTGGCTGGTGTTTCTGAAAACAATGCATGAGGCAGTGCCTGTGTCTGAGCTCACACGACTGGTGACATTCCTGCACAGGGGTGAAAAAAAACCATTTTCCTCTGATAATGTGTCTAGGGTGGGGCTGTTCAAAGCCTTTAGTCTCTGTCACAGAGAATCACAGAAATAAAAGAAGTCTGCTAGAGCAGTGACTTTGAAAAAGGCACATCCCTCTGCTAGGAACAGAGCTGAGACACCAAAAATTGTATATATAAGAGACTGGACCAACAACACATTCAGTGACAACTTTTAGGCACTTAAGAGATGTACTAAAATGAATCTCAGTGATGAAATTAGATTTTTCATATGCAATTATAAGTGCTAAGGAATTCAAGTCTCTACAAACTTCCTTGCTAACCCAAACGACCCAGACAGGAATTGATGTGCTAATGATGGATGAAAAATATTTTCTTAGTGTCATCCTGCCATGAAATTATTTGTTGACATGATAAGGGTGTTGCAGAATTTGACAGGATTTTCCACTCTGGAAAGGCAGCAGCTAGAATGCAAGGGATGATAAGTGGAGAAGGGTTTAACAACAGGCAGGCATCACCTGCAGAGACTCAGGAGTGAGCTGCACTCTGAACTGCACCAGGGCACAGGGGAGGAGCTGCAGATGATGCAAGGAAGCCCCTGGTAATGCTCTTCTAGAGGCCTTAAAGTCTCTGCTATGGCATCGACACACGTTAAGCTGGTACCAGCTGATTTTCACATTCTACCAAGCAAGACAGGAGTTTAAGTTTCTGCAGTGAAAGTCCCCAGATGTTTGGTGAGGGACCACAGTGCTGTCAGTACGTGAGGATTTATATCATCCTCATCACAATATTATCTGGAATGTGCTTATAAATATCTGGTGAATTCCTGTGGGAATCATGACCTCCTCTGATTATTAGTTTATTACTAATATGCTGGCTATTGAAGGTGAGAATGAGAAAGTAAAGCAGAAATCCTAAAAAAGGTACAGAAAAATCCAGCAATTTTTACTTTCATTTTAAGTACACTGTGAGTTTAGACTGTGCCTTGACCTAGTGCCATCATTGTTTGGATTTTCCTAATGACTTACAAATTTTCAGCCAATAAAGCCAGTTATGTGAATTATGAGAAAACACATAACTGCAACTGTGGAAGCACTCACATTCAATTACACTGCCTTTCAGTTTTAGCCCTTGGGATTAGGGGCATCTTATGACACACAGCCAAGATTTCAAGCTGTTGCTTACAGCTCTAAGGAGTCTGGCTTACAAGAAAAATACTGGGAACTTAATTACTCTGTTTAAGAATATTAAGCCCCCTTTTTGTCAACGTTTGGCTCAACACAGTCCTGGATAAATAGAAGCCCCATCTGTGTACGTTTCATGACATTTAAGGAGACACATTTATTTACACTTCCCCAGGGTGTACACGAGGCTCCTTCTAGCAGTGATAAATCCTCAGTTCCCTTTCCAGTTGATCATTACAGGCTTTCTATAATCAATGAGCCCAGCACGAATGTGTTTATTTCTGAAGAGTTGTCAAACTTTTGGACTCTGTTTTATGGGCTCAGATAACTTACGACCACAGTAGAAATAGTCACTGGACAAATATTTAAATCTAAAGAATATCTTTTAGATAATCCCACCTTTTTATTCACTCATTAGAAGTTCTCATTTTCCTCTCCTTCCCAGATGCAATAGGGTCAGGGTCATGCTGGCCAGCTGCTGTTTTCCTCCAGCCAACCTTATTTGAGCTAACTTAAAACCACATTTTCTGTTCAGTCCAGTACCATTCTTACAAACTGAGGTTTCTCTCTCAAAGCTTCAAGCTTTCTTCACCTCAGTGAGATATAACAGATGACAAAACACTTTGCCACCCAGGGCAAACACCTCAATAAATTAAGTTTAAGGCATTTAGGAAATCCCTGAAGACCACCATGTAGTGATGATCTTCAGAGAAGTAGGAGAACGAAGATTTCAGCTTTTACCTTCCCATACATTGTGAGTGAGCTGTGTGCCCACCTGCATCCCAGTGCTGGAGCAGGTGATTTTTAAGAGTATTGTGACAGTTCAGTGGCAGTAAACAGTTTTTAAAAGAACTTCCATATACATAAAACTTACCTGCAAGTCTCACACTGAAGCCAATGCCTTTACTGGGAAGGGCAATGGCAATCAAACTTCACTAATTGCAAGAAAAAAACAAAAGCAGAAAAGCAATTAGCCCTGTCACTGAAATGTCTGATATTTGTATGTTTTAATAGGCTGTGAAGTCACGTGCAAGACAACACAGTTTTTATATTTAAAAGTTTTAGCAGTACAGCTTCCAGTAGAAGAAAATATCAGCATGGAGCTCACATCTCTTAGGCATATTTTGTTATCATTGTCTTTCCTCAATATTGGAATAAAAGTGGGCAAAATTGAGATAATATAAACACTTGTACACCACCTGTCATTGAAACGTGGGAAAAGAGGCTTGCTGGGAATTAGTCACTTCCTCAGAAACAGTCTGTCCAAAGCTAGACTTGAGTTTCCAGAGAAGCTGGCTTAGGGTGCTGGAGTTGACACGGCTATTTCAGAGATGTATGCTGATGCTCAAGTGTTTGCAGAGGGTTTTAGTTTACCCAAAGAGACGCTGCAATCACGACACCTCACGTGCAGTGAGTTAGGAGGGCTGCTGCCAAGGTTTATGTGTGAAGGCAGCACCAGCACACACAGCTTGCCCTTGCCCATGCCTCCACTGCTGAATCACTCGCCACGGGGCTTTCCACTGACTCACAGGACAGGACACCTTGCCCACATCCCCATTGCTGGGAAGTCACCCAGCAAGGGCTCGGCTAAGCCCTCTCAGGACAGAAGTTTACAATCCACACTTGTGCTGAAACATCCCCCCTGCTCTGGTTTATGTAGGATTAAGCAGATTCTTGCTAACTAGCACACACAGAGCTCACTGGCTGCCTCTGTATCCATGGGCAGCATATTTTCCAAGCTCTCAGCCAGCTACTTACAGACTTGGACAATATCCTTAGCTTTGTTTATGTTCTTTATTGGAAACTCACTAATTAAGCTGATGCATATTCCAGGCTGCCAGGACAGATTTAGGTGAACATCCCAGATAATCTTAGACAGATACTGAGATAATAAGCAATAAAATTCATCCTGAAGGCCTGCCTAACTGCACCTCTGAGTCAACACATCCTGCAACAGGTTGTTGCTGTTCACACAGACCCTCATCACTGATTAACTGCTTTGCAGTCTGGAGAATTAAATCAGGACCTGAACTTCCATGTGACTCTGATGTGCTACATTGAAATACATTATGTTATTTTAAAACAACCTAGATGTTATTTTAAAACAATCTAGATGTTATTTTAAAACAACTTATCATAGCCTTATAAACTTCAGCTCTTAAAACAAGGCAATGGGTGGCTTATGTCACACACAACATAGCTGGATTTCAAAGAAATCATTAATTAAAGAATCATTAAATCATTAACCAAAGAATCATTAACTATCTAGGATATGAAACAGGAATATTGCTATTCTTGGAAGCATGTGATTTTTTTTCTCAAAGAACTAGAGAAAGGAGTTCAGGGAATAAGAGGCATTGTGCTAATTTAGAGTCTGATAATGCTCTTTAATAAAATCAGTGGAAGTCTTGGAATTCATCTTAAAGAAAACAAGACTCACACTAGCAGGGAACTTTAAGTCATCTAACATATGGGAATAGAGGTCAGAATGCTGTGAAAAGGAAGCTAACACAGGCTTTCGTGGGAGTTTAGAAATTGTGCAAGTTCACTTAATTGAGGCCTGTGCATACTGTCAGTGCAAACCAGGGAAGCACAGACCAAATCACACCCAAACAGCATGATTTATTTGCTCATTAATCAAAATAAAAGTCTGTATCCACACTACTGCTTCTCATCCCTCATTAATACGCTGCCAGCTAAAGCAGCAACAGCACAGAGAGCTGCCAAACAGCCTTTTCTGTTGGTTAAATCCCATCTTGTGCAGATCTCATCTGAGCAGAACTGAACAATATCAAGGTTTAATGATATCATTTAAGAAGCAGTTGAAAACCCACTTCTAGTAACACTGCCAAAGCCAAACTCATGCTCTGAACTTCCACATCAATGACATGTGAAAAGAAGTAGAGTGGCCCTCGACTGCCAGCAGCAGCAGATACTCCCAGCGTGGGTGTTGGGGAGCCCAGAGCAAAGTGGGAGCTGTAACACCAGGCTTTTTACTGCCAGGCTGTGCAGCAGGCCCAAAGGGGCCCGAGATACTTCTACAGTATCATTAAAAAATATAAACAGGGTGGGTTTATGTTTTAACGTTCTCAAAAGCCAAAAGTGCCACAGGACTTTGGCAGCAAGAATGTTCCTGGCTGTGTTAAGGTAAATACAGAACATGCACATAGGAAGTTTCACAAACCTCTCTCTGCTAAGTGGAACTGAACATTGATGGAAAATTGTATTTCAACTATTAAAATAGCATAGCTAAAGAAGCGGGACAATAGTGACAATTTATTCTGAGTTATTATTCAGACTATTTCCAACTGGTTTCTAAGCAAAGCCCCGTTTGCTTGTGGTACATAAGGTCGTGTTTGCAGGCAGGTATTCCACACAGAACTCTTAAGTGCCTGCTCCTTGGTCCTTCTGCTCAGACACTCCCATTCCAATCCCCCCAATTTGCACAGAATATCATGCCATTTGGGGCTTTTCATGCAGTCCCAGCAAAGCCTTATCCTTTGCACTCTATAGGAAGTCAAACCCTGATTTGAAAAGATCAGATCCAGCAGATGCAGCCCTTCAGGGACAGTCCCTTCCCCTGAGCTGCAGCCACCCCACACTCACTGTCCCCCCCAGCAGCATTTCCCACCAGTGAACTGACCGTACACTCGCTCCTTGTTCCCACTAAGTGAGCAGAACATCCTGATTTTGATTCTTTTCACTCCTTCCACACCCCTCACTTCTCCTGCCCCGGGAGACATCTCGTGAGATGTTGCATCACAAATTGTTCTTCCCTCTCAGCAGAACGACGTTTTGCCACTTGCTCCCTCAGCCTCATTGCTCTTCCCAATTAAATTTTCCAAGAGTCTCAGACTCTCTCCTGACCTTTGCTCGGTGTACCCCCTGGAGAGGGCTGACATTATAAGCTGACTGTAGATGAGACGGGGATGAATAAGACACTTACTGTTTTACAAAGGTTCATTATTGCCTCACTGGGAATATCAAGGTTATAGGTCCACCAAAAGCTCAGATGAGCTGAGTAGGACATGCTGGAAGATTACTAGCATGTAATAAATGAAACGTTGTGTTACTACTTTTCATTATTTCACTTGGGCTACTCCGTGCATTCTTCACCCACGTCCTTTGTAGCATTTAGCATGTCACAAAGAGTGTTGTCAGGAGTCTCTTTTACTTCTTTGCACCCAATATCCCTCAAGGTCTCAATCTCGCACTGAT